CGAGGGAACCTCCGGCTCGTCTTCGGCTTGTTTAATTTTCATAAACATCTTGAAGGGGGGGCATAGGTCGAAGTGTGTGTTGGTCGTGCGGCACGTTGGTCGTGCGGCGTGCTGGTTCGTGTGGCGCGTGTTTAATTTTTATATAGCAGGTTGTGCTGAAGGCACGGGTTTGAAGCATGTGTTTGAAGCATGTGCTGAACGTTGTGCTGAAGGCACGGGTTTGAATTTTTGCAGTCACGTCTGTTTACGAGCTAGGTTTGTGCGTGCATTCACATGTGTGTATACTACGAAGGCATTGGTATGTTGCCTGCGGAGGCACGGGTTTGAAGCATGTGAAGTCACGTGTGCGTAGGAGCTAGCCACGGTTGTGGCGTTCTTGGTATGTGTGTCTGGATATTGCCCGGAGGCATGGTGACCCAGGGTTTGGTGGCACAAAGGCCATTTCACCTCTGGAGGCACGGGAGGGTGGTCTCCAGAGTCACGCGGAAGGCTATGTGTGTGTGTGGATATTGCCCGGAGGCATGATGACCCAGAGTTTGGTGGCACAAAGGCCATTTCACCTCTGGAGGCACAGGAGGGTGGTCTCTAGAGTCACGCGTAAGGCTATGTGTGTGTGTGGATATTGCCCGGAGGCATGGTGACCCAGGGTTTGGTGGCACAAAGGCCATTTCACCTCTGGAGGCACGGGAGGGTGGTTTCCAGAGTCACGCGTAATGGTATGTGTGTGTGTGGATATTGCCTGAGTGCATGGTGACCCAGGGTTTGGTGGCATAAAGTCCTTGTCACCTCTGGAGGCACGGGAGGGTGGTCCCCAGAGTCATGCGTAAGGGTTCGTTTTGGGAGTCAGTGTTGTGGTACAAATAAGAGGAGGCATTGTTGTTTATAGTTTACTGGCACTCTCTGATGATGTAAGAGGCATTGTTGTCGAAATACTTCTCTTTTCAACATGAACACGTAATTTCTAACTACATTACATAGAAATGTGAGTTATTGATAAAAAAATTTGTCACATCTAGATAGAATTAGCCTCGCGGGCTAAATCAAAAGTTTTAGTCTTCATTTTTCTCAAGATCTTGCTAATCTCGTCACCCATTTCACTAGCTTTGACTTGATTCATCTCGCTACTTAAGAGAATGTACATTGCCTCTGCCCTCCAATCTTCGACCTCATCCTGTGAAATTTTGCCGAGAAGAGAAGTATATTATTAGAGTTTGTGCATATAAGTTGTTTATAAGTAAATCTATATAAACTTACTGTCAAATCTTCCAGGTCTTGGACAAACTTTTCACCATTGTAGATGAATGCAAGCTTTAAAACAACAAATGTTGATTCTCCCTTTTCTACCACTGGAACATCTTGCACGGTATGAATCTGCCATCTTGTACGCATGGGAGTCATTGTTTGTCCTAGTATGGTGTTGAAGACTTCTTTAAACCTAGGTACCTGGGAATATTGCATTTTGTAATTAATTGTTTTTATATTGCAACTTGTAAAACTGAAAAAATTGTTATGTATAAATGCTTACGATTGCCATCTTATGAACATGATAATCCTGAACATGTCTTTCTCTTTCTTTTTCAGCATCTTCATTTTCCTGAAGAACTCAACTTGCTTATTTTTCATCCAATTTATCTACGTCTATCTTTTCTTTCTCAAATTCCTCTAGAGCGTTTCTCGAGGATCAATAATGTGAACTTTGTTTTTGTATTTGTCCAGCACATATAGTACATAGCGGTCATCCTTCTCCATTGGAATGAATATCCACGTACAAAATACTTGTTGCTTAGATGACAGTTTAATATAAAGTAATTTAATAGAACACATATTTTGAGATTTTGTCATGGAGGAAAGGGTTGTTACCATGTTTGCTGTTGAGAGTTTTTTCCGTTGATTTTCCTTGAGATACATGGGAACCAGCTGATTCTTTCTTTTTTGCAGTTTATTCTTAAATTTTTAATACCAGTTTTGTGATGCTTTAAATCCAATATATGCTGCAAACAATAATTACGATGAAAAAAACGGTTAGAAAAAAGAGCTGTGTAACAATATAAAAAGAGTAGGTGTTGCAATATAAACAAGATTTTGCTTTTTAAAATTTTACCTCTGCAAAGTTTGGGCCTAATATTACTCTATCACTCTGTTTTGAATCTTGTTTGCTTTCCCAGATTTCTGCTATGTCATCGAGGACCCTCGTTTCCATATGATGCGCCTAAATATGTTCGTCTGTGCTGGTCTTGGACCAAATTAATACTACCTTCAGTTGGGCTCCAGTAAGTTGCGTGCTTTCACTGTCCCTGCGGATGCGCCTAAATATAGTTTTGCTGCGACAGGGAGATTAAATAATTTTGGAGGTCACGGTCAGTGAGAAACAAATTTTTACATTATTTTTGGCCTCTGTCCAACTATATTTGAGGTGCAATAGAAAACAACTCACTTTTTGTATTCTTCCTGCCAGCTGTCGTTCATGACTAGATGGAAGAGGTTGGACGCCTCCTTTGTGTGTTGGAAGTAATGAGAATGTTTTGGGTATGGACTGATGCTTCGTCTTTTGTCCCTTTTAGTTTCATCTGTTTCTGTCAGCGGAAACAAATATGTAATATGTAAGCTCTTGTGATACGAAAGACATTGGTGAACCGTGGGATGGGTAGGTTATTACAAAAAAAGATAAGTATAAATGATTTTCTTACCTTTGTCGGTGTAAAAGAACTTCGAAGTTTCTGGTTTGAATTCTTTGATTCTTCCAGGTAGATCCTCGCACTTTACTTGGTTTGTTTCACCAAATATGGATGTAAAAAGGAACTCTGGTTTCCACTCGGCATCTACGTTTCTTTGCT